GGATAGCAAGGGATAGGAGATGCTCCGTTCACCAGGGCACCCCTTGGAGTAACTAGAAATACTGGCCATAAACTGACAGAAAGCAGATTCAGGTCAGACATCAGGAAGAACTTCTTTACAGTAAGGGTTGCCAAAATCTGGAATGGGCTTCCAAGGGAGGTGGTCCCCTACCTTGGGGGTCTTTAAGAGGAGACTGGACAAGCACCTGGCTGGGGTCATCTGACCCCAGTGCTCTTTCCTGCCCAGGGCAGGGGGTTGGACTCTATGATCTGCTGAGGTCACTTCTGACCCTATTATCTATTAATAAAAAACCCCAAAAGATACATCAGCAGTTTTTGCCATGCTTTTGATGAAGTCTTGAATCACCTTGAAGTCAGTGACTGAGGGAAGCATTGGAGGATTTACTGCTTCGTGGGGAAGTGATGAGAGGTCAGTAGAGGCAAGTCATTCTTTAAAGATATTGTTTATCACTTATTGTGCTACCCTGAAGGTAGCCTCGACCCTATAGACACCACGAAGTGGCTCACCTTCACTCACATCTGGAGCAGCACTGCTCCCTATCCTCATCACAGGTCACTGAAGCTGCAATGGAGGCAGGTGACTGGGGCTTCTTGGTTGATGTACATGGGAATTTAGGGCAGAATGCCAGCTTACTAGGTCATGGACCTCTAAACCTAACTGGAGGACTGAGGTTTAGTTGTTTGAGCCTGATTAGACAAAAAGCAATGCACCATGCATCATTCAGGAACATCTCTCTCTTTTAAAATAAAAAAGGCATCTAATCCACCTATCAGCTGGCTCTGAGGCTACACATGAGCAATATTAAACACCCAAGACTTTGTTCCTGCCATTTTGTTGGGATGGAATTCCCAAACTAGACCCTGACTCAAATACAAATGTGTGTGTTCCCAATAAGCAACACAGACAACTAATGCTAAACTATAGCACAGTGGGCAGAGAAGCAGGTATTATTATTATTATTATTATTATTATTTAGTGTATCCTTTCCTACTCAGAAAGGCTCAGGGAGGTTTACATTAAATGACAAACAACTTACAGATAAGATTCAACAGTAACTCTCCAACTGATACTCCAAAACATTAAGACTCCACCCCACTCATTTCTTCTTCCCTGCATATTATCCAGGACAGCCAACACTGGCCTTCCCAACCATGCTTGCTAACCTTCTCAACCCCCATTCACATGCAGATATAGGAAAATCCCTCCCACCTTGCCCACTCACACCTATTCCCTTGCCTCCCACTCTGGGGACATCCAACCTATCTCCCTCATCGTCCCTCCCAATCCCACACTCCCATATCCTAAACAGGGTCTGTAGCTCTCACCCAAAATACATACATCCTACCCATCCCTTTTAACAAATGTAACAGTAAATTCAAAAGAACCATAATGGGAAAGTAATGGGAAGACATCCCTGCTGAAGGGCACTCAAGGCATCCTGGAGTGTTGCTCTTTGGCAGCACCTCAAAGCTGTGGCTGCCCGGTTGCCTGCCAAGGGAGGCCTGCTGGCTCTGCAGGGTTTGCAGGCTGGCTGGGTCCCTCTCCCTCAGTTTGGGCAGCCTAGCTGGTAGTCACCAAAGAGGAATTGAGGAAGGGTTGGGTCTACTCACCCCAAGTGGTAGATAATGGGGCATCTATGATGAAGGTACCAAAGGGCCAACATCCAAAAGAATATGATTTCATTTGTTTGGGGCACGCACGTTCCAAAAGAGAAAACTATGTGAACAACCACATCAAGAGGAGGGAGGGTATGGTGGGGGCCAGGGCACACAGTTGACAGCCCAGGGGTTGCAAGTTCAAAGCCACAACAGAAGCGCACATGGCACATCTGCTAATTTTGCTAAATATCTTGTCACGCCAAGGACATGTGAAGGAACGACCACTCAGGAATAATTAAGACCTTTGTATCTATACTTACACTGGGGACATGCACATTTGATGGAAAAATATTTAGAATTTATATTAAAATCAGAGGTGAAACTTTTAGCTACCAACAGCAACATTCTCAACAATTTAATACTGACGTATATCTTGTGACAACTGAATTACAAATGTACGTGTGAGATCTAATACCTGCCCTGCAACCATTGCCAAGGCGACTGAGTTATCTGATCAAACTTACTTGTTGCTAACAGCTGAACTAAAAGGCTCATTTGACTTCTATTAGAGCTGGGGGGAAAAACCCCCACAGTAATTATGTTCTTCATAGGGCTGTTTGCTAAGATTCTTGTTTACATTAGCCGTACATCTTTGCAGAACCTATTAACTTGCACAGAACTGTGGATTCTTTTAGTCTTTGCTTTTTTGACTTTTCTTTTTCCATTTCACATTACCAGCTCCTCACAGAAGCACAATTTATGCAAATTTAGTTCCCTTAGCCATCAGAAACCAATACTGAATTTGAGGGTACAATTCAAGAAGCTCAGTTTACCTTGCACAGCCTGAGCTCACAGGGTAAAGTGAATAAGGATTCAAATATCGCACATTCTCACTTTTTATTGTTGTTTTGGTAGCTCTCCCAGAATTCATAAATCTCTTTGATCCAGCAGAGTGAGCGAATAATGGAATAAAGAAAGGGAGTCAATCTCAGTAGAAAAAGCCCACTTGCTCGTCCATGGGATCAAAGTAAGCTCAGCGTAAAACTGAAGCCCAGCCATGCAGACTGACACTTGACTAGAAGGTCAAAGCCCAAGCACTGATTATCAACTGGGTGAGGAGCAGAAGTTGTATCATAGCGGTGGCACTAAGCAGAATCAGAGCTAAGGGTGTTGTAGTGTTGGATTTGGTCATAAAAGATGTTTTTCAAGGGGTTATAATCTGGTCACAGATTTACTCTTCATTGCTGCTTGACAAACAGGCTCTCAACCAGAACTAAAAAAGGGGTGGGGGGGAATTTTGATAAAAGATTATATGGAAAATATTTGTCAATTTGTAAATTCTAGAGTGCATGAAGTTAAGAAAGAAAAGTCAAGTTGGAAATATTTAAGCTCTTATATTCCTGTGTATAGGAACACAGGAACCTGAAGAAGACTTCAGGGCCTACAAGTCCTATTCTTGATACCTTGTATTTTAAATTTTTCCTGACCATTGTATATGTGCTGAAGCCCATAGCCCTTTCTGGGATTGTGTATATGCATTTTACAATATCTTTCTAGACGTATGTGTATTTATTAGCATTACAGTAGCTCCGTGCTGCCCAGATCAGGCTATTTTATAACTTTCAGAGTCATGTATACACTCTGATGACATATCAGTCAGTGACAGAAGACACCAAGCTTTATATTGGGTACAATAATTATTGGTATTACAGTATGACCTAAAGATGTCACTTGAAACCAGGGTCTTATTGTGCTACAACAGCAATTATCAACCAGGATGCCATGGGTTGTCTCCCAATATAGACATTGTTGTGTGTTGTAAACTCCTACTCGTGATTCCCAAGACAAACCCAGAGATTTCAAATAGAAATCTGTTGTGTCAAAAACACTCTGACCTGTTGTGGGCTTTTTGAATTCTTTGCAACAGAAGAATTGCCCTATAATTTTTCTGTAATCAGTAAAGGAGTGAAAGCTAAGAGACGGCATTTTCCAAAGGGTGCCTTCAGTCTAAAAAGGTTGAGAATTACTGTGCTAGACACTACTGAAAAACAGTAACAAAATCTCAACCCTAAGTATCTGACCTTAGAGAAAATGCACCTGCTGCTCATGACAGCTCTTGAAACTTAAGTCCTCTGTTTATCTGCAGGAGATATACAAGAAAGACAAATGTGCTTTGCTCCAAAAAGGAGCAACCTTTTTAGGGAGCTTGTTTCATAAATTTTATAGATGTTAGGGCTGGAAGGGACCTCATGAGATCATCAGGTCCAGCCCCCTGCCCACAGGGCAGGAAGCCAGCTGGGGTCAGATGCCTCCAACAAGGTGAGCATCCAGGCGTTCCTTGAATGTATCCAGAGTAGGTGCTTGCACCACTGCTGGGGGGAGTCTATTCCAGACTCTGAAGACTCGGATGGTAAAGAAGTTTTTCCTTATGTCCAGTGGAAATCGGTCTTCCAGAAGTTTGTGACCATTAGACCTGGTCTTCCCTTGGGGTGCTCTGGTGAACAGATGTTCTCCCAGTTCCTGGTGCACACCCCTTATATATTTATAGGCTGCCACCAAGTCCCCCCTGAGCCTATGCTTCTCTAGGCTGAAGAGTCCCATGCTTCTCAGTGTCTCCTCATGAGGCCTGTTTATAAGGCCTTGTTCTCCATATCCTTCCAATCCTTACAGTCCCTTCTACCATTGCCAAAGATAATGTCATGAATACCAACTTTGATGGTAACATCCGTGATTTAGACACCATTCTATGTACATCTGGACTAGAGCCACATTTTCACATCAGACACTGAATACACTTACTCCATCCTAGTTTGTATTGCCTTTGAGTCTGTTGTCTCCATGTGAAGTATTGCATGTGACTTCCTACTATCACTTTCCTGGGAATCCAATTCTTTAGTAATCCTCATAGTACAAATAATATAGCCATAGTGATAAATGTTAGCAGATTCATTAACGTGGCCAGATTCAATCAATTCTCTTTCTTTCAGGCATTTAGCTATTTCATATGTCAAATGGTCTGTTTCAGAAGATGACAGAATAGAGGCTCTATAATCATACTCATGTATTGTACTCAGGGATACATGAAGGTAGCTCCCATTGGCTTTAATGTGAATTGCATATGTAACAACAAAGGTACTTATACCTTATATACTCGTATCTAGTGCTTTTCATCAGTAGATCTCCTTTACCAATGTGGGTCAGTATTAATAACTCCATTCCACAGGTATAGACCTGAGACATGTTTAAGTGAAGTTACTCACACAAAGTCACCCTGGAGACCAATGAAAGAATAAGAACCGTCTCCTGGGTCCCCATCCAGTGTAACATCCACTAGGTCACATTACCACAGAGGACAACATTTGACCCGAAGGAATCAATTATCATTCAAGCAAACAAGGAGGCATTTGTTCCAGTGTCAGCGCACATGTTTTAAGACCTTTAATTCATACCTGTTATCATCACTGGTGCACAGCATTACAGAATATATTACAATGAATCTTTTAGTTGGTACATTCTCAGAAAGCACATCATGAGGGTTGTCTGCAAACGTCTTGGCACAAGCCCATGGGATGAAATTGCTGCATGCTAAGAAATATGTGCCCTATTGGACCTATGTACCATGGAGCAGCTCTCTGTGAGGATGAGTACAGAAGGTTAGGAATGAGGCAAGTATGTCTCTGACTTCCCAAGTCTACTGGCCAGAAACCCTTTAGAGGGACAGCAGCAAATATTACAGTAAAGCAGCTGCCAGTACTTCAGGCTCCCCTGGTGAGTGAGGGCCGCAGCTACACTAATGCACTCTGGGAGATCAGGATTGGTACAGGATTGTCACTAAACAAGAAGTCCTTTGTTCAAACATATTTACTCAAGATTTATACAGGGAACCAAAGCCTGTCACCTAAAGTGAAATCCTGACCCTGCTGAAGTCAATGGGAGTTTTGCCATTGATTTCAGTGGAGCAGGATTTCACTCTGCTTGTTTCATTTACAATTCCAGACAGATTCTCTCTGCGAGCGCTCGTGTTTGTCAACAGTTCCTGCTCCAACAACAACATTTCTACTATGCACATCTCATATTAATCCACAGAATATCTGGGAAGGCATTTGTCAAGGTAATAAATCATAGGACTTGCTTTTTATTTTTCTAGCTGCTCTTGGGCTCTGTGGTTTTGGAACCACATGAAGCTGAAGATCACACCCATTGTCTTAGGGAAATTTTCATCGAAAGCAAATTTCATGGAGTCCTGTAATGGTATTTCTATCACTTCAATCAGCTCTCCTTCTTCAGGCTGGCCACCCCCTTCTCCAGTTTTCATCTGATCCGTTACCTCGGCATAGAACATGGTCTGCTTAGAACCTGTCACACCGACTCCAGACCTGGAAAAAAAAACAAGCCTCATTTTTTGGGGGAAAAAGTCATTTAATGAGTAAAAATGGAATCCTGATCCTCCTTAGATGTCTCTAAGCAAACCTGTAAGACAAATACTTATTTTTATCAATGAATTTTAAGGGTCCCCAGGTGCAAGGTGATAGGATAGAGGGGAGCAAAGGATGTAATACACTGAAGCTTTAGTTAAGCTTCTGACATGGTCTCCCACAATGTTTTCCTAAGTATGAAAGTATGTGAATAATGGGTTGCACAATTAAGAGAAGTCATGCTGGCTCAGTCTCAAGTGGGGAGAAATTATCAAGTGGGGTTTTCTAGGGACTAGTCCTGGGTCTGGTGCTGCTCAGTATCTTCATTAATGTCCCATAGGTTGAAATTAAGTCTACACTTTTTAAATTAGTGGGTGCTGCCAATCTAGGTGAGGTAGCAGACATTTTAGAGGACAGGATTAGGATTCAAAAGGACCTTGATAAAATGGAAAAATTATCTGAAATATAAAGAGGTTAACATTTATACAGGATGAGTACAAAGTACTACACTTAGCACCTGGACAGACACCTTTACATCTGTAAAATTTACACTGATTGTGTATACAGCTTCTCCAGTATGGAAGCAGACAAAGGACACCTTCACCAGTATAGCTTTAATCCTGAGTTTTTGCTCCCCAGGATAATACACTGGATCCAGGTATATTACACTGGTACAAGGGCTTATGTCATCTTTCTACTTGTGTTGTCCACTGAAGCCCTTTGGCTAGAATAAGCAATTGCACAAATACAAAATGGATAACAACTGGTTTGTTTGCAGTATTGCAGAAGGGATCGGGGGGTTATGGTGGATCACAAGCTGAATATGAATCAATAGTGTAAGTCTTACAGAAAAGACTAAGAGGGGAGAACAGGGATGCTGTATTGCAAGTTATGGGAATGGACCCTCAGTACTGTGGGCACCACGAAAAAAGGACAAATTGGAGAGTCTCCAAAGGAAAGGAAAGAACGTGATTAGAAGTCATGAAAATATGACACAGTTTGTAAAAGTCTAAATTGTTTATCCTAGAGAAGACAGAGGGGATTTGATATCAGTCACCAAATACCAAAAGGGGCATGGTTTCTTTTTGTGTGTGTGTGTGTGTGTGTGTGTGTGTGTGTGTGTGTCCACAGAGGACAGAAGCCTAGTCACGGTTGAAACAGTGGCAAGGGAGATTTAAGGATTAAGTTACTATGAGAGTGGTTAAGTACTGGAACAGATTTACCTAGACGCCACTGAATCTCCAGCATTAGACAAACATGTACGTGGGATGATTCAAACAGTGAAGATCCTGCCTGAGACAGAGGGTCAGACTTGATATCTTTGAAGTTCTGTCAGCCGTAATCATATATATTATTCTATGATAATGTGAAACCCATTTTATTATCTATATGTGGAAATACTAGCCCCCTTTTAAAGTGGGTTCCTCTTTAGAACTGGGGCCCAGTCCTAGTCCCACTAACATGAATGAATGATTTTTCAGTTGCCAGCAAGCCTTGAATCAGGCTCCATTCCAGAGAAATCCACAAACAACAAAGCTCCCTGGGTATTTGTATGCCACGCTTTAGTACTTTAAGAAGATTAGGTCCATGCGCTATCGGCATCCTGTATTTATGCACTGGATGGGTATGAGAATGGAATGGCTGGATGGGACCCTACTCTGTTCAGCCTGACCCTTTAGCCTTGAACCCTAGGCCTGTATATATCTGAAGTAATTGAACCTCCCAGCTACATTTATTATAGCGGATCTAGCTGAGGATATTTAAGATTATATAGTCTTCAGATAGACTACTTGCCATGTCATAGACTTCTTATTTGTTAATCCTCTACTTCTTTAGTTACTTCATTTAGACATTTTTAAAATAAAAGATAAATCCATAATCCACTCACAGGGTTCCTCCAAGAAAATATTCATATTGCAACTGCAACTTGCATTTCATGTAATTACAAGTGACTTCTCAAACGCATTAGAGCCTGACCCAAGGCTCACTGAAGCTCTGGATCAAGCCCTGAATACTGAAGAATTATTAGCCTCAATATAATCTTAGTGAGTATAACCCTGCTTATCCAATCTCTAGTTAAATAAATCTTCTAGTTAATCCAAGGTAAATCATGTCCCACAGCAGGAATAAAGCCATGCATAATTATTCCTTCAATCTCCTAAAACACTTCTAATTCTTTTGGTTGGAAAATGAATATTACTTGTTCCGTTTAGCTAGTTGTTAAAGTCAAGAGAACAATCTTCTTTCTTTATGAAAGCAGAACTGGGAGTTGGCAAGCTGGGTTCTTTTTCTTGCTCTGCCACTGTCTTGTTGTACGACAGTGGTACTCAACCAACTCTTCCCTGTAGCGTGCGGCCAGTCCATGGGCTGGAACCAGTGCATGAGATCAGTCTGTGGCTGGATCTGGTAGTGGGGCTGGTCCATAGGCCCCATCCTGCGTGCAGGGCTGGCCCTGTGCACTGGATCAAGTTGTGGACTGACCCTAAGGACAGAACTTGTGCACTGGATCCAGATCCGGATCAATCCCATGTATCTACCTGAACTGGCATACCATGTAATATGGCCCAAAGAGCTTCCAGCTGGTCTGGAAATCCAGTAGTGGGGGAACAGTAGCAGGATTAACTGCCTGTCTCCCATAACCACAGGAATTAGCTGCTACCACGTCCGCACAGCCAAAGTTCTGGACTGGAGGGGAGCCCCGCAGACCGGATAACACAGGCTGGATCCAGCCCGTGGGCCCGCAGGGTGAGCACCACTGCTGTATGAAGATGGGCAAGTCACCTCTCTGTACCTCAGTTTCTGCATCTGTAAAAGGCAGGTAGTGACACCTATTTACCTTTGTCAAGTACCTTTTCCAGGAGCCTGGGATGAAGGCTGCTACATAAGGACTTTATCACTTTCATACTCATCACTGTACTTTCTCTGTGCCTTTATAATTCTTTTTATATACTCCTCGGCCAAAGGAAAAGTGACCAACAGGGAAGTAGCAAGAAAATGGACTAATGGGCTTCTCCTCTTTCACTCCCTCGGTTGCTGAAGAACTTGACCTCCTTTCTCAGTTGCACTGAGTTAGAATCTACTGTCTCTAATGACCTTGTTTGTGCGGACATTACCCTTAGCATTTGTATCTTATCATGGTGGCCATTAGTGCCAGGTTTATAGATTCATAGGTGGTAGGGGCTGGAAGGGACCTTACAAAATCATCGGGTCCAGCCTGCCTGCACTTTGTCAATAAAGGAGCCGTCCAGTCCTGATAATGATCCACAGACTTGACACACCACTACCACAAGATTAAATGCCTTCTTCAGAGTCCTCCCACTCCTTGCTCTCTTCTTCCTTCTCTATTGGGAAGCTGCTCAGAGGAATACACTCCCTCGTCAGGCACACTGCCACTCATCTCAATTGCAACGAAAGATCCAACCGGCAGACGATACAATGGAAATACGGCTTTTGAAAGCAGCAGGATTTACACACTGGGCCCACCAGGCTGGTTTAATCGTTCTAATCTCATTATAAAAGTAAATGAGACCCAGTTTTCATCAAGCTACTCCCAGCAACCAGTTCTCAAAAGTCGGAATGGTATTTTTTATGCTAATGTGATATCAATGTTCTTTCTGCTGTGATGATGACACACTTTACTATATTTTTTGGCATTAAAAAGCAATATATTTTCTTAGTACTAACACGCAATAACACATGGTGCTAAAAGCAACTCTGCAGATGAATCACTGATCAAAAACAAAGAGGGTTCTTTCAGAAGCCATCACGGGTAGCCATTTCAGTCCTAAGAGAAGTGCAAGTTATTTTGCAAACATGCTGACCACAGTTATTCAGCTTGTTTTCTATCACTGGCCTCTACCCAAAGTGCTGTTAACCTTTCTCAATCCTTCCCCAGTATGTTGAACAAAATTGTAACTTAAGGGATTTATTCACTATGGAATAACACCTTGGTTTTAATTCACCCTTACTTTAATCCTTGCATTTCATTTTTCCAACTCTATTTTCTGTATATCCTATGTTTAATAGGGTGAAGGGGCATTTGGTTTTCGTAATCAAAGAAGTGGAGATATTCTATTTTCTTACCTTTTTCTTAAAATAGAGTGAGACTTTTTCTTCACTTATTTATTTTTGGAGGAATTCTTTTTCTTAATAACTATAAAGATGCGTACAATCTGGGATTTCTTGATTATTGTTAGTAGAAACGTAATTTAAGAAATTTAAATAAATGGAGACATGGTAATTTAGCCTCTAAAATCTTTAGGGCAGAAAATAAGACTTGTTAATATCCAGACACCATAAAAAGTTAGAATATTATAGAAATGTATAACAATATTATTATTGCTGGTAGCTCTGTTCTCTGTCTCATCATCTGTTCTCTATTTCCTAACCTGTTTTACACAACTTGATTTTAGTACCAATGCTAACAGATGTGTTTCATCCAAAACAGAAGTGGGAAAAACAGAGAACCAGCTCAGTAGTAGAGTACACTGCCTACTCTTTTAATCTGTTTCTGAAGTATATTATCTCTTTTGAGTAACACAACTGGTGTAGATCTGTATTTAGACGGTGACAGCATTAGTCATTATCTAGTCAATTTGACCCTTATTAACATTTTCTGACTTATTTACAGAGTAGTCTCTTCCTCTTTAAGACTTGACATAGCTGCAGCTGTGGAAATCACTGGAGTTCTCCTACCATGCATCTTTTCTTTAAAGTAGAAAATTTCTGAGGCACAACAACGGGAAAAATGAGAGATTCAGTTTCTTGCCACTGTAATTGAAATGGCTTATTGAAATCAATCTGTGCTTGCATTGCAAATTATTATTTACTTGCATTGCACTTCTACTTAATCAATATGCATTTTCTTCAGAGCTCAATAAACCAAGCCAGTCCATTATTCTCAAACTTAAAAATACTTCTAAATGTCATTTGCACTGGATCTGCTAATCTTGTTCCTTTTT